TACCACAAAAACCCCTCAACATCCATAGGAGCCTCTGAACACAGGGCACCGCTCATTCCCAATGAGAGCAATACCTTTATTTCTGGAGACGAGCAGGGGCGCGTGTCTCTTCAGCAGCAGGAACAACCGTTCTCCGGACTTGAGCTTCTTCAGGTCGCACAGCTCTGCCTCAGCGGTGAAGAACACCTTCCCGGAAACGGAGTCCACCTACCGAGGCGGCGGAGAAGGGGACGAAAAAAATAAATAAATAAAACAGGAGGGGGCAGGGGAGAACAAAAAAAAAAGGAGAGAAAAAGAAAAAAAAAAGGAAAAAACTAATTTAATAACACTTGCTGACTGTCAAGCCCTGTGCAGTTTATTGTAGGTTCATGAGAATATTATCATATTGTAGGTATCATGAGAATATTTAGCATATAGAAGGTGTAAAAGTGAATGATAGTGAGAAAGCAGGCATGCATGTGAAAAAATGACAGATGACAAAATTTATTGGGCTTGGTAAATCGCTTTTGTAATTGATACCACCTTTTTATTAATTTTTAAGGCTGTGTATTTATACCAGAATACCCATTCCTTTCAATTCCTCCGCCTTCCTTTTAATTCCTCCGCCTTCTTTTAAATTAATTCCTCCGCCTTCCTTTTAATCCCTCTGCCTTCCTTCGGGGTGATGCTCACCCGGCTGCTGCTGCTCCGTGTCCTGAGCTTGGACGTTTTCTCCTTGAGGCAACATTAGGGTTTCGTCGTGGTGGGTTGGCAGCACCTAGAGCTCTTTGCCGAGGTGACTGTGATGTTCATGTTGCTGGTTTCTTCTCTGCCCGTGTTCCTCTACAGCGGGTCGTGGCAGTAGAGCTGTTAACTATCCCTTCCGGCAGGGAATAACCAATGACCTGTTACAGCAGTCCCGCGGCGGCACTGCATGAAGATCATCAAAGTAACACAAATGAGAGCGCGGTTGGTCAGAGAAACTGCTGCCACAGCGAAGGAAGGTTAAAAACGCTGAGCAGGCGCCGTGCGGGGAGCACTCGCTCCTCAGCGTCCCGCTCCTAGGACTCGCCATGGCGCTTCTGCTGCGTGTTCTGGGCGGCAGGGCTCTCCAGAAAGGCAAAGCACAGAAAACAATAAGCTAATACCTATCATAGTTACATAAGGTAGAAACATTACCACTTAAAAGCCGTAAGGTTACAGCAGATAATAGGGAAATCTGATGTGTTAACAGACTATTAGCTATAATCCCACGGGACACCCCCTTGCCACATGCACCTTCCTCCTGAAGGGTCTTGATCTTTATGGGCCCTGTTTAGTTAATCCTGCGTGCTCCTGGTTACACTGTGATACATATCTCTGGAGAAGCATAATTTTGTTCCCAACCGTTACAAAAGAACATAAATGTTATCTTAGCTAATAGTAACAGCATACTAGGCAAAACAACGATAAGATGTAAAAACACATGTAACGTGGCCTGGAGCTAAACTGCAGTCTGTCCTGCCAGCAACTGCTTGGTACAGTTCACATTTCTTAACTACTGAGGCCAGTTCTTGGGTACAAATCATGTTCATTTGCTTCACTGAATTATACTGTTATATGCAATTATTTTAAATTATGTATATTATATATAATAATGTATAATTTTGAAAGTGTATATATATAAATAGATATGTATATAAATTTTATTATACATATATATTTAAATTATATATTACAAATATAAACATTTATCAACATATATACACTACATATGATATACCAATTTTACTGAAGTCTTTTCAATTCGGTACTTACGTTGTTGCATTTTTTCTCGATTTTGAAATACGACTGAAACAAGGAGAATCACCCCCTTATACCAGGTGATTATCACAGATGTAAAGCTCTTTAATGGGAAGCAGGGCACCCGCTGACAGATGCCTTGTACCAGTTAGCAAAGGGCGAACGCCCTTCGGGAGAGAGAGGCGCTCTGGCTCCTTGTGAGGGGCAGCGGTGGGGAGAGCTGGGGCTCTGTCCCCACCAGCTCCCCTGGTCTCCCTTCCCGTGTGCCCAGCACAGGGACCCGCTCGGGCTCCTTCCAGCATCTCCCTCCCATCAGCAGCAGGCCCTGGTTCGCCGTGGGCAGCGCCGCTGGCGCCGGCACCGCGTGCCGCAGGCTCCAGCGCCGCAGAGGAGCCCCCGGCGCGGCGCTCGGCCGCACCTGCACGTTGGCAGACACCTTCACCTGCGGGTGGGAGGGAAGAAGGGAGGGAGCGAGGGAGGGAGGAGAGGAGGGCGGCCGCCTCCGACACCTCCCTGCCCAGGGGCCTGGCCGTGCTGACCACCTTCCCTGATGTCCTCTTCATCCCCGAAATCGTGAGTGCCCCGCGCCGCTCGCCCGGTGAATTCAATGGGAAGGGGAACCAGAGATGATCTGAGCATGGGGGGCAGTGAAGGCTGGTGCAGGTCCTCGCCGCTCCTTCCCACCTCGTGCTCTCTCCTGCCCCACACTGAGCCATCCAGCCGCGGGCCTGAGGAGGGGTGTATGTTATTTCATGCCACAAACAGCTGCCTTGCACCAAAATCTCCCCTGCCACCTCACCCAGCCCATCTCCCAGGATCCACACCACTTCCATCTCCCAGCTATAGCCAGCAGGCGATGATGGGGCTAATCCGGCATTCCCAAGGCCCGGAGAAAGGCTCTGCCCTTGCCTGGGCCTGAGGCAGCGTGCCACCATCCCGCCAGCTGTTTCCCTGTCCTTGGCCCAACAGCTTAAAGCAGGGGGGAAATAACCCACAAACTCTCCTGTGTTCGGGAAAGGCTTGGAAACGTGTGTACAAAGGGCTTGCGAGCCGCGGCGTTTCCTGCAGCACGTCCAGAGCGGCATCTCAAGCATTTGGACGGGTGCTAAAACGCCAGAAGGGCCGACCTGCGGCACGGATGGTTGCCACATTGGGCTCCGCTGATTAAGCGTTGCCGTATTTATTCTGCGAGGCTAGGTTTAATTCATGCCGTTTATCTTGCTCGAAGAGCTTTTTTTTTGTAGCTGGATTACAGCTAGCAGCCATAAACGGGAGACACCAAGAAGGGCTGCAGTCAGATTGGGATCGTAAATGCGCCACGCGGTTTAGAAGGAGCTTTTCCGACTGCGCTGCCCATGCTGCTGCCCATGGCTGCAGAAGGAGCCTCTCGCCGCTTTGCTGCTTTTCCATGAGAGGCTGAAGAGCAGGGCCACAAAACCAGGGCGGCCAATGGAACCGGGTCTGCCCCACGGAGGAATCACAGCAGGTGGCAGAGACCTGGGAGGTGGCAGGAGATTAGGAGCGGTGCTTCCCGCCCTGACATCTGCCCCTGATCTTGCTGCTTTTTAGTGCAGTAATTGCATGCTTCCCCTGGGATCTGCAATGCAGTCACGTAGACTCCACGCAGGAGTTATTACAGGGCCCGGGTTTGCGTTCAGGTGTTGGTGTTTGGTTGTGATGGGACATGCCAACGAAGCAGCACTTTGTAAGAGCCTCTTTCTTCCAGGGATTTGGGAGGTCACAGCCATGTCTTTGATCTAACTTGCACCTTTTCACCATGAAAGCAGTAAGGTGTTTCCTCCTATAGATCTGGGGTGAAATGAATGATAGGATGTTTTCTGGATATCACAAAGTAGAGGGAAGCCTCTTTCCTACTTGCAAAATGCCTCCAAGGAGCGGAAATGCCATGATTTGTAGGAGTCAGCACCTGGCCAGCAGTGAAGACTGGCCCTGGGATTTCTTGATCGGCCGCATGATTCCCACAGCAGCAGGGCTCACTTGTCCTCAGGGAATTTAACAGCAAAACTGACTGCTGCCAGGGAGGAGCGAGGGGTCCCTGAGGAGCTCCTCATTGCGAGGTGCTGCGGCAGCCCAAAGCTGGCAGATGTTCAGAAAAAACGGGTTGATTTCTTGCAGAACGGCGTGCGTTCCAGCACAGGGACGCTGCTGGTGCAGGGCTGGGCGTCCCGCACGTGATCCCTTGCACAGGACCTGGTGGTGGAGAAAGGGCAGGTAGATACAACCGTTCTTGTGCTCCCCACCCTGTGGGACAACCCACAGCCAACTCCCAAGGCCAGTGAAGCCGAGGTCCCACCGCTACCTTCGCCGTGGCCGGGAGCTCGCACAGCCCCTGTGCAGCCCCCAATGGCCTGAGCAGCAACGCAAACCCGTCTCCCCGGCGTGCTGCAACCCCTTTTCCCCCAACTTGGGCAGTAAAACTGCATTAGGTGTCTTCAACCTATTCACTCTGCTTTTCCGCATTTGCACGAGGTCTCGGTTAACCCGTGGGTCTGCGCCGCTCGCGTGGGCAGGCCAGGTTGGACGCGGCTCCTTTCAGCCGCGCTTTGCTCCGCTTTGGCTTGCAGATCTTCGGTGGCCTCGTCTGGATCCTGGTGGCCTCCAGCAAGGTCGTGCTGACCGTGGCACAAGGCTGGATCATGTTTGTCTCAGTGCTCTGCTTCGTCATGTCCATCGCCCTCCTGTGCCTCTACCTGTGCGGGGCGCACGGCGGCAGCCGCTTCTGGGTCGCCTTGGTAAGTGTCACCGTAGCCAACGGTGCCTTTTGCTGCTGCTCCGCGTTGAGCTGTGGCCTGGGGGAGCCGGTCGCCCCGCTGCGACGCGCTCCCGTGTTTTTAGGACGCCTTCTGCCACGGGATGGCCGCTCTCTTCTACCTCAGCGCCGCTGTGCTCGAAGCCTACGTCACCTACCTCTTACGGTCCTCCAGCAATACACAGCTCATCTACCAGGAGAACATCGCTGCGGTGGTGAGTGCCCAGGCCAAGCAGGCAGCACGTGAGGGGCTCCCTCCTGCCCTGCTTCACGTGGGTGTCTCCCACTGGGCAAAAGTCAACACTAACATAACGCGTTACGAGCCGGTTGCTCAACACGAGGAAACGTGCTTTGTAATAAAAAGTTAACTGGCTAGCATATTTTTCCACTGCAGGTATTTGCATTCCTGGCTACGCTGATGTATGTGATCCATCAGGTGTACTCGCTGCTGCGGTGGAAGTCATCCTGAATCTCCCCCGACGCGTGCGCCACGCGGCCACCCGCAGACACGAGTTGTTCAACGACTGCACTTTCGGGCTGGGGCTGGGTTTTGGTGTTCGGCGTTTCGGCTATAAACAAGCAGCTTGGTGTGCGGGACTGTGGTGGTGAAGGAAAAGAGCCTGCCAGAGAAACCTCTGTGTCCTGGCACGAGCCGTTCCCCTTCAGTCTCTTCTGGGTTGGGTATGGTGTGTTGTTCGTAAGTGGGACCCAAATAGAAAGAAATCTAGCTTTAAACAGAATAGTATTATTGGATTCAAAGCGCCAAAATATTCCTAAGTCTCCCTTACACCTCCAGTGTTCTTGCTCCCACAGGAAGCCTGAGCAACCAGTGCTCTCAGGAGCACAAGCATGAAATCTGGCCTTTTCCACTGCAATCTGGCCATGTAAGACTATTTTCCTCTCCGAATCGGACTTGCCAAAAGAATATTTCACACAGGTTCCAGAAATGCTGTCTCTGGCTTGCAATGAGAAATGGGCAGTCTCGAGGGAAATACGGATTCCGGCAGCCCCGATGGGTATTGCCGAGTTATGAGGCCCAGCTGCAACCGTTAGCAGAGGCGTTAGCACTGCCATTAATCCCTGTGAAATACAACCAAGAAGGTGCACTGTAGAGACCGCAGGAGAATTATAGGGGTAACTGACATAAGAATAAGCAGAGACGATGCTCGTCTTCGGCACATGGCTGCTCTCAAACCCTCTGTTACCAATAAAGACAGATTTTCTGTAGTTTTGTATGTGCGTGAGGGTCTTTGCTGCCACGTGAGTTCATTACAGTGGGGTTTTGCACCAAGAAGCAGAGGGGGTTCACAGTTTCCTAAGGTGCAGTGGGTTCATATGAACTCTCATCACTTCTACTTGGGAGTCTGAAATTCATGCATGATAACAAGGACTGCAGAACGGGAGGGAAATAAAGGCAAAGGAGAGACACATCTGCTCTTTCAGAATCCAGGGGGATTTCTCAAGTTTGGGACTTCAACCAAAAGCTGTGGTTGAAGCTTTTTAACTGCAAAGTGGGGCAACAAGTAGTATTTTTCCCCTCATTTTTTCCGTATTGAAAACCTTTTCTTTTAAAAGCCCGACCAGTTTGCTCGCATTGATGTGACAAGCGCGAACCCGCTGCGACAGCGGCAGCCGCTTCTGGAGGTTCAACCTGCTCCTGCTGGGACTGGTTCCTGCCCCGCGTCATGAGGGAGTGGGGGGAATTTAACGCCCAGGTTTGCCCTGCTGCTGTGAATGCCCCAGAATGGAGCGTTAAAGCACAAAGACGCCTTTTTGGTGGAGGTATTTGAGGCACGCCCTGGCTCTCCTGCACCCTGTCGCTACCTGCTCTCCTGCGGCTCCTCCTGCCTCACGCTGCCCTTTGCTCCCCGGGCTCTGCCACACGCCGGTTCGCGCCGGTCCGCGCCAGCTCGCCCGGCCGTCCCCTCCGCTGTGGCCCCAAACCAGGCGCCTCCCTCTGTCCCTGCTAGAAGCAGCGCTGGAAAAGAACCCGCGCGGAAAGAGAGGGAAAAGCAGATGGGAGAAGCGCTCCGGCATCCCCCAGCCCCCGCCTGCCCCCAGGGCCAGGGA